CTCCTCTGCTTGCTGGAGGAACCAATGCCAGGCACAGGTTGCAGCACTGATCAAAACACATGGGAAGCTGGGTGAAAAGAATTTCCATGAAACCCATTGAGAACAGCATTGGGGTTTCCCAGAAAGCCCTTCTCTCTTACTGATTTGCCATCATTTTTTAATGCAGGTTTTGAGCTTTCTTTGGAGTCTAATTAAGGCCCTAATCAGTTTAAATGATGAAAAACTTTCCCAACACCAGCATATCAAACACGCAGAAGCAACAGTTCTGCTCCTGTCAAAGCGAGCCTGACTCGCCTTTGCTCGTGTGAGGGCACCACGCTGAGTAAAAAGGAAAAATCACGTTCTTCATCAGCACTTCACAGTGAAATTTAAGTTGTCGGCTCCTCACGGGAAATCCTGATGCAACACCCAAACCGTCCCTGTGAAGCGGAGCTTGGTGAACGTTTAATTACGCCTCGGAACAAACACACATCGCTGCGTGGGGGCTGCGAGGAGCCATCCGAGCTGCGTGCTAAGCTGCTCTGTCCCAGAAGCAGTTTCTTCAATAGCACTAGCTTATCAAAAATAATTAGAGGTAGGAATGCTGGAACTGTGATTATGAAACAAATGGTAAATCTATTTGCTGAGGCGAAATGTATTGAAAGATACATCTAGACACAGCTGGAGACTGAGGTGATACCACAAGGATAACAACTCGAGATCCAATTTCATCTTTCATGATTAAAAAATGAGCAAGAAAGTGTTTTATGAAATGTGAAGGTTAACAAATGTTCCTTCACAAGCAATGACGACAGTTTATCTTTTGAAACAAATGATCAGGCTATGGTCTGCTAGCAGCTCCCGAGACACACTGGAAAGATTTCTGCTAAAAACCCACTGAGGATCAGCACACAGGGCTGGCAGCCCATTGTGCTGCCAACACCCAGGACAAAGCCGGCTCCAAGGCAGTGCCCTGTACTGGGGCAGGAGCTGGGCGTGCTCCTGTCCTGACCCTCTGCCCTGTGCCAGTGACAGGAGCCCAGTTCATCCCTGTACCCAGTCCCTGCAGTGGCCATGGCTCAGCGGTACCTGCACACAGGAGGGGTGGCACAGGAAGGTCTCAGACCAACAAATTAACAACCACTTCAGCTGAATTTCTAATTTGCCCGAAATATTCCAGGAGCCCCTTCTGTCTAAAGGGAAGCACCCATACACTGTAGCCTTTGCTGCAATGAGAGAAGCAGTGGCTGGTGCTGGGCCTGTGCAGCCCCGGGCAGGGACAGTCCTGCTGCAGGCTCTGATGGGAACTGGGGATGGAGCAAGGGGAGTGGGCAGCACATCTCACCAGGGGATGAAACATGTTTTCCTAAACAGCACAATCAGCTCCCAGGCAAATTCAAAGAAATGTTGGTCTATAAAGAGATTATGAAACACCAGTTTTTTCTTCTGGTTGTTACACTGCAATACTCCTTTTGGACTATAGATATAAAAGGTGCATATATTTACATTTCTGGGTACAGAATCAGTCTTGCTTTCGATTTTTCACATGATGGTTGACCTACTAAATATCAGTGCAATATTCACATATAGAGTAAGTGGCCAACAAGGAATTCCTCTGAGTGTTCTCCAGGTAAAACATTCCCTTTATGGTGTGACTACAGTGTGAAGTATGAAAACTTATTTTTAGAAATGAATTCGGCTACAATTTGACTAGCAGACCAAACACCATGAGCTGTTTAATGAGTAAAAAAATGTATATAGAAGCTCTAAAACTGTGAGGGAATTATATCATGATAGCTACGGATAATTCTCCAAGAAGAAAAATTCAAATTACCAGGAGTGAACAGACAGTAGAGAAGATGGTGATGGCAGCTTTAGCTCCTTCTAATAATAGAATTAATAGTTAAAATTGAGAAAGAAAAGAGTATTTATGTGTAGAAGGCAACACAAGATGTTTTAAAGTAAAAAAATTGCTTTATACTCTCATAAAATATGGGACTGCATAGCAATGCCCTTATTCCTATCCTAGCAGCCTGAAAGGATTCCTTAGCATGAGGAGAACAGAACACAGCAGTTTGGCAGAACCTCCCAAAAAACCAATATAAACTAAATTTACTTATTAGTGAGCACACTAATCATGATAGCCATAAAGCTGGCTAAACAAATGAATGCTAGTTAACAACCGTGTTACAGAATTAATGCTATTCTTTCCTATTCAACTCTCCATCAATTTCCCTGGGATATGACAATTATACTGTTCTTCCCAACAGAAAATCAAATAAGAAATATTTCTAGTGGTCAAAGCTCTTAATGTCCTAAATTCTGATGAGGGAAAATATTTAAGGTAAAGGCCACATAAGTCTTCTCTGCAGTTTAAATGCTGCACAAATAGCAACAGACTTCCCCCTTGGTGGGCCAGAAATTATTCTAACACAAAAAATGGAGACAAAGGTATTATGAGACCTCTTTCAGGCACAGAACTTTGTTTCAGAGGCCACATTTAACTGCTGCTGAGACAGAAGCTGCATGGCCATGGTCAAACACTAGTCCCAATTGCTGCCTTTCATGTTTCGTGTCATAAATTGCCCTCTCTTCTCAAAGTTGGAACACGGGCCATTTCCTTGGGATCTGCAATGCCTGGTTTCTTTTCCATCTCTAGCACAGGCTTCTGGTGTGCCCCAGAAAATTCATATCCTCTAGGGGTCAGTGAGAAGATTGAGCAGCACCTCAAAGCAGCATTTTCAGCATAAACCAAGGAAAGAAAGTGCTCTACAACTACAGTGATGAAAAGGTTCTTTAAGCTTTGCAGCATCAATAGTGCTGTCCTTTGGCACTTTAACATGTCTGATTTGATGCCACACATTATTTTTGTTATGAAACTAGAATAAACCAAAATCAATATGTGCTTATTAAATGGACAAAACATGGAGTAGCTCATAGGTCTCAAAAAGCAAATGTAAATGGGAAACACTGCTCAGCTGAGTATTTCTAGCAGGGTTCTGTTACATGCAGAATAAAGTTGAATATCTACCTTTAGGGTCAAATTAAAGGAAAAAAAAAAGCACAGACACAACACTTTTTCAAGATCACAAATGACAAATTCCAGAGAGGTGATAAATAATGAAATGGAGGATGACAGATGGAGAGACCTCAATCACTTGGCAAGCTGGGTGCAAACAAGATAAAGAAAAGATAATGTATAAACAAGATAAAGTATACAAAGAAATACTCCGGAAAATAATGCAGCTATTTTTTCTGGAAAGAAGATTATTCCTGGAAGTAGTTCTCCTGAGAGACTTTGGGGGTCCTTGTGATAGTACCTAGCATGACCCAATTGTGATACCGTGATGAAAAGCTTCCTCAACAAGGGAAGATCAAAGACTTATATTCTTCATTGACACATCAGAATTACGTCCACGACACAAAAAGAGTACAGCTGAACTGAAGGAGAACCACAAAGATTCTAATTTGAGGTTAGAAATCAGTGTGTTAAAGAACCTTCTGGAGCTCAGTTTTTTCAGATTAGCACAGAGAGGGTGCCACGAGTGTCTTGTCACAAGTGACTTGTGACATTAGTCAATACTCAGAACTTAGGCAAGGTACAAAAATTATTTCACTATAGTGAAGATAGTTACATATTTCCTCATCACACCTTTTCCATCTTCCCAAAGGCTGCTTATCCTGTCTTTTCCCCTTCGGATGTATTCACCCTTACCCAAGCTCCTCTTCACTTAGATTTTGGGAATGTATCCCACCTAACCAGGTGTGGACCTGTGACTGCTGTCTGTGTGGCAGAATTTCAGCTGGGACATTTCATGTGTGCCCTGAAGAATTTCAGCTCCAGCAGGAGCAAAAATCTTCATGTGGGCAGGATGCTCCTGTACACTGCCTGGCCAGAAGGCAAGGTGACAGCTCCCATATGGCAGCTAAGGAACTCATCTCTTCTGTTTGGCTCAGTGCTCTATCTCTCATCTTTAGAAGGAGAAACGTGTTTGTTCAAGTTTACTAAGAAAAAATTTACTAAATATTTTCTGAAATACATTTTACATTGAAAGACATGAAACATCTGATCATTGACACTAGTCTAGTCAACATCTGGACTACAAGGTTAGATGGTATTTTACCTCCCTTATCTTAGAACCATGTGTTGGATTTGTTTTTGCTTCAGATGTTTTGCTGTTTGAGGTTGCATGGGAAATGCTATCAGTGCTTTAGAAAAATAAAAAGAAAATACACACATTAGTTGGAGATCAAGTACATTCTTCCAAAGGAAAAACAAAGCAAAACTCAGAGTGTTTTGCAGTGTGACCCTCATAAGAATGTTTGCATTAGGCCTGCTGTCTTATTAATATTCATTTGTGTTTATATAAAGTATACATATATAAAGTTTATATATACAAAACCCCCATACACAGGAGGCAAAAAGCCCCATGTATTGCAGACACACACTGACAGGATAGTTGTAACTCACAGTTAGTAATGGTCTCTGCTGATTTCCTCATAAAGAAAATTTTTTTTGAAGTTGATCTGTAATTTTTGTGTTTTAATTTGTTTAGTTAGGGAAGGGACAAGAGCCTCTTGGGAGGAACCTTACTCAATAGAAGCACAAGAAGCCTGTCTAAAAGCTATGACTGAAAAAGAAAAGGTAAAGGTTTGGTCAGGTCTCAGTCAATATGCAGGAGTATAGCATCAGAGATATGCAAGAAGAATTAACAGTCTTTTCCTAATTTACTCAGCAAGCACTGTTTGCTCTTGGTGGTTCATAATAAGAAGAAGTAGAGTTAAGTCATGACTTTCTTCTTCTACCTTCACCTAAAAACAGAGTTCCACCTCCCTGACTACGAAATACCTTAAGTGCAAATAAAAAGCCATGCTTAGGCAGAGGAAGAAACTCTAGTCTCTTCTGGGCAGGGCTGACCATGCACAAGCACATGTTTTCATAGGAGAGGTTTAGAAACGCAGACAGCTGGCAGCATGCTGAGAGGCTTTGGGAAGAGCCCACAGTACGTTCCTCTATTTACCTCAGGTAATCTCTGCGGCAAAGAATGAGATTTGCTTTTGTGTAAAGAGTTGATCCAACCTCTCCAAGACGACAGTCACAGCAGGCACACTTCAAACAGTCTTCATGCCAATACTTATCCAGAGCCTTCAGCAGGTACCGGTCCTTGATCTTTCGGTTGCAGCCAGCACAGCCCTTCTGCTTCCCTTTGGGTTGTACGGATAACATCGGCACACCTGCAACGCAAACAAAGCATTTCACTGAGAGGATATCCAGACAGCTCGGATAGGTTACCGGCATTTGGGGTAGCACTGTGAGCTATAGGTAGATCTGTGAGCAAACACTGCTGCTGGTTTCATTACATCAAGCTCACGCTGCAAGAAGCTGACAGTCAAAGGAATTTTAACTTCATCTGCTGTCAGGGGCTAAGTGGGAGTGTGACGCTTGCAAGAACAAAGCCCTTTTTTCCTGAGGGTAGGGCTGACACAACGCACCAGACTTTTTGTAATTAACATCTTGCAGCAGAATAAACTGGTTGCAATATCAACATTTGCTTTTCCCCTCATTACCAGTACCCTTGTGTTGTTAATTACCTGCCAAAGGCAATTACAAAGATCAGAAGGGCCACCACTGCACATACCCCCAGTCCAACATCTTGGCTGGATCAAGTTTGATGGGGAAAGGAGAGGAGGGGGTATAAAAAGATGTGGTAGACCACCATTTTTCCTCTCTTGTGAACCCCACTGGTGACAGAGGCCTCACCGGAAGCTAAAGCAGTCCAGGGGCTGCTCCAAAATCAGTGTGATTCAAAAGTCCCTGAGGAGTGCTGAGAATAACCCAACCAGTGCCCCCCTGCCACTACTGAAACCACACTCCTTAGGCAAACTAGAGCTTTCCTCCTCCTCTTGTATCACTGGAGAAGGTAGTGAAAAGCCAGGAGTTGCTTCCTCCCTGGAAAACCCTGCTGGGACCACAAAGCAAGAATGAGCTAGCTGAGTATGAGGTGGTGACAGGACTTGCAAGTCATGAGGCTGGTGGAGACTTGCTGTGGCTACCATCCTCACAGTGCTGTCTCCAGCTTTTTCCTCTCCTCCAAGCAACAAGTGCCTCCCTTGTGAGCACTGACACAACTGTGAAACCCATCAGCCTTCTCAGTTTAAGAGGGGGGAAAGAAAGGATTTTATGGAATCAACAGGCAAGGTGGAAAAATAAACAAGGATTGTACTGTGAGGGAGGACAGGGACAGGAAATGATGACAGAAGTATTCACTGCTATGCCAGAATTCCATTTTCTCTGGAGCCTTCATTTTACTTTGTTACAATTTTTATTTTTACTGGTGTCAATCACTGAAAATGGCAATGCTGGGCCTGTAACAAATACACTGTGGGCTTAACCAACGCAGAGATGATGAGAGGGCCACAGCAGCAGGTGTCACTGGCTATATACTCTTAGACAAAGTTAATCTGCCATTTCTGTAGGAAGCACTGGATGTTCCAGAAAGAAGCAGTTTGATAATGGAATTATTAACAATCCCTTAACTAGAGAGGACGAGTCAGTGCCACTCTCGTGACATTCGCTGCTTTCCTTAAAAGCCAGGGTGACCTGAGAGTGCCTAATGGTCAGCACATGTAAACCCACCACTCCTACAGTAATAATTGCTTCATCAGAGCTGCGAGCAGATGACAATAGCACTTAAGACACCTCTACACAAACAGCGAGGTATTGATCCATTTGTAATCAAAGTGGTCTCAGCAGCATGGAGACAGGTCAAGTAACATTCAAAAAACTCTACAGGCTTAAAGAACCCGCCTGCCCTCTGCTGCAGCACACTTGAAACCCGCTCACAAAGTCTCTACGAGCAAACTCTTGACACCAGTGACAAATCCCCAAAAATTAAGTAAAAACTTACATCTGTGTTAGACTGCCACACATGCAACCTCTAGTGCTACCGAGAGAGAAATTCCACATACACAGCCACAGAGAAACACACATTTGGAAAGAGGGAGAAGACAAGGAAGTGACAGAAATGGAATATACTGCAGGTCAGACTGCAGAAATCCTGTGCACCTGGTGAGAATTTCTTACAAGAACAAGAGAAGTGGCCCTGTGGTTCTAGACAGAGCACTTTTATTTTTTTTCCTCTTTTTTTTTTTTTTCCAAAACACATTTCAGGAGCAAGGAGAAGCTTCACTTTTCAAGTACTTGCTATGCTCTTCCCAAATCCACACCAGGAAAACAGCACATCGTGAGAAGAGGCTGCCTTGTTCTGAGGCAGAGAAGGGGGTGTATACAAATTTGCATTTGCAAACTGTGTAAGATCAGTACCAGTGATGAAAGAAAATAGTTTGCACCTATGAAAACTAAGACCTAGATGTGCAAATTATATTTTAGATAGGAACCCCAGACACCAGCAAGTCATTACCCACGCCACAAACGGGCTCTCTAAATGTAAGCTGCATAACCTCAGAGGCTGAGGAGGGTTTCTTACAAGGGAAGATCTTCATACAATTCTTTTGCAAGCTTCATCTAGGTAACCTGAGGATACTATATCTGGAAAGACGCAGATTCTGGATAACCAGCTCACCTTAAACCCTCACTCAAGAGGCTGCCAGAAGGGTGGGGTTTGAGATCAGCTCTGCGATTCAGCAGTGCAAGACCTTCAGCCAGGTGAGACTTCCCAAGGCTCCTGAGCACTTTTGGAACCAGTGCCTTTCAGAGTTACGGCTGCCCTCCCCCAGAGCAAGGGCTCCACTGCAACAGCAGCATGATCAAGAGCAAGGGCGTTTGCACAGGGATGTAACCCTGGCTGGACCATTAGTAGAGGCTGGTTTGATTACTCAGGACAGGTTAGGAGGGTCTCCTATGGCAAGCAGGCTGAGGGCTGGCTGCAGTGGCAGTTCTTGTTCCATCTGTGGCCCTGGCAGCCCTCACTCACTGCAGCCATCTCAGCTCCCCGCTCTTGCAGGAGCACCATTGTCTTATGAGAGGCTTCTGCGAATAAGGGGAATGTAACACTTTGATTTGCTTCTAATAACTAGCAAAGGAACAGATATATATATTTTTAAGCAGTACCTTAAGCAAGGAAAAAAGCTATGTATTTGGTCAGTGTTCAGCAGGGGGCTTTCTAATGAAAAAAGGTACCATTTCAGAGATCATATGATGTTCAAAGCTGCTATTCCCACTCAGATAATAACGAGCAAGGTCAGCCTCTGCTGGTCAGGTTCAGTGTTTTGAAATTACATTTTGGGCTGTGAGGTTTCCCTCTGACATCCCAACCAACCAGTCTGCACGGAGCACACACGCCACTACTGAAAGTTGCAGCTGCAATTAGCTGGTGAGTTGACACAGCAGGCAAGGCGTGAAACAAAATTTCAAAAACTGCCAAACTTGATCAGCAAGGGTTCCTCAAACACTTGCCATGTCATTTCCAAGCAATGAGAGAAGCATTTTGGAAGCCTAACCCCTTTCACAGTCAAAGGTTTGCAGAGAGAGAGGGCACAGCCAACACCAAACCCTGATTTCCTCCTCCTGCCTCCCTTCCAGCAAACCTCAAGCAGTCTGGGCTTTGCAGGCAGAAACCACCTGGAGTACTGCTCTTTCTTTTTGGAAATTTCCCCACTGCAACACTGAGGTGCTGCTTCATTTCTCTATGCAATTTTTCCCCGGTGTTTGCCAAAAAACGCCAAGATACCTAGTTCAATTTGATGAGGGGCATGTGGTGTCCAACTGGGGCTGCCAAGAAACAAAGGGGTCACCTTCAACAAATTCCACGTGTGCTGCGTGGGCGAGGATTAGAAAATGAGAAGTAGCGTTGCAGAACTAGAAAAATTAACAGCTGGACACTCACAGATTTAAATACGTGATCACAAGGGAACAGATTATTGCCAAATTCTGAAAGTACCATCAAGTTGTTCTCTCCTCTCCTGTTGCTAGACATCCAGTGCTCTCTTTTCTTAGAAACAGCAGATGAAGCCTTTCTATTTCTGGCTACCTACACTCCCTTCTTTGCCCTTTACAACTTAATAGACTTGCTGCTGGTAAATACAAAACTAAACCTGTTCTGAGTGCTCAGAGCTCCAATACACATTAAAAAATTATAGACACCACCTCTGGACATACTGAAATTTATGTGTGTGTCTAAAGAGGCTGTTATTGTAGTGAGTAATCTAAACTTTACCTCTATTCACAGTCAGACAAACAAGCTTTAATCAGCCCATATCTTCTCAGTCGGGGTCTTTCTGTAAAATGATTCAGCTGGCTTTATAAAACAAGTGTCCACTAAGTACACCTCTAAATTTTTCTAAGCCATTTTACTGATATTTCTATTCACATGGCAATCAGCTGCAGTTTCTCTAAGGGCACTGTTCATAAAGCCTGGTTTCCAAGAGAGCCTGGGAACTTTTCATAAATGGTAGACCTTTTAAATAACAGTTATCTGCACTGGTCCTACAGCGTACGGCTCCACGGTGCTCTGGTCTGCCAGGGAGCTACCGGTCCCCTCTGAAAGCATGGAAGTTCACCACCTAATTTCTTTAATGCAACTCTAAAGGTTAATTGGTCTGAAAGAGTAATGGGGGACTGCTAGCTAATGATATATGCCTCAAGGCTTTGCAGCCTGCCTGTATTTTATACAGTCAAGTCCAGAGCATAAAACACAGGTGATATCACCAGGACTTTTCAGACCCCCTTCCAACCTGCCCCCCTCAGCCTCCCCCTCTCGCTCCCAAGCCCTCTGCTACACCCTCGTGTGCCGAGTGAGAGCCGCAGGAGCTGAAGGCAGTTCTCTTCCACCTGCATTTCATGCCTTATTAGAGGGGGCTCTGAGAAGTGCCGCCACTGCACTCCTCATTACCACGGCAGAGAACTAAAAACAACCCTAATGAGGAGAGCCAGAGCGTACAGTACGGGGTGGGAGGAGGGACGTCCTCCCACACTCCCCAAGGAATCTGGCCAAAATCTTCAATTTGCCATTTATGACAGCTAATTAGTTATTCTATTCAAAATCTTTGCTTTAAATAAAAGAACTAATTATACACAAAGGTCAGTCCCCCACCTCCTGTGAAGCTCACATAATTGGCTTATTTCCCCAACATTGTGTGTATGTTTTACACAATGCTTTCAGGCAGATGGCTTTAACTCTTTCCCTCGACAAGTTTTTTGGTATTGGCTTTTTTGTCATTGTTGGGGATTTTGTTTGGGGTTTTTTTGTTGGTGGTGGTTGGTTGGGCTTTTTTCT